AGCGAAGATAGAAATTCATAGGCTTACGAATATACCAACATCAGTTCCCCGACCGACTGTCAGTGTTAGCGAGAGAACGGCATAGGAATCCAGGGGATACAATGTCACGCGAACATTAAAGCGTATTTTGTTGTTCAAAAGGTTAATTGAAGGTTTCTGAAGTTCCACGCGAGTTTGTTGTTATTTTTCAAACGTAAGCTAAGATTTGTTGACAACAATACGTGCTTCAGCATAAAAGCTTACTGGGAACTAGATGACCTAACGCAGTCAGCGGAGTGATCAGGAGAAAATTATGTCACCGTGCTTGTGACGTAACGTATTGCTCCGCACATATTAGTGACGTCATAGACATTTCACGAAGTTTAGTTTCATGATTTGTGGCATTTGAAATCGCATTTTTTATAATTATAAAGCAAAAATGACATTGTATGATAAATAGGTTATCACACTCGTGTGTTTTGGGATGGTTAATATCCTTCATTAGGAATAAACACTATGTATTCAGCTCGCCAAGGCTCGCTAAATACAATGATTATTCCTAATGCAGGATATTAACCATCCCAAAACACACTCGCGTGATAACCTATATATACAGAATATAAGTCTTCTTGAGCCAGAGGGGGTATCTGTCTTCAAAGTTGGAATATAAATTCTGCAAAGTGTTGGTTAAATTCAATGCTGATATCTTACGTTTAAAGAATAACGTAGGAAGGTGGCAAAATATTGATGTAATTGTCCTGTATGTTCAACATTTTGTTGAAATGTCCAGCTTATAAAGAACTTCGGGGTGGATTTTTGCCTAAGAATTTGCAAGTTAATATGATTTTGTTTAGCAATATCCTTAAACAAAACAAAACTGAAGATATACACAATCTAGCTCGTTTTATCTATTATGCATACAAAATGAGAGAAAAAGTTACAAAAATAGAAATAGGTATTAAAATTCTAAAAACTTGCAATACAGCTATACATATATATGTTACTGATATTTTTTCACTGGAGGTGTAAGATAATCTATGCAGGTAGACAGGTAAATGCTATGAGTTTTTAAGAAATTGTTTCCTCTTTTCGTACACGCCTTCATACCTGTTTAGAATATGTATATCAATATGCATATGGGTATGTGGCCTTCATACGAAATAACGATTTTGATGATGATGAACTGAATGTTCACTATATTTATATAGACCTTCATGTATGTGGAATAATTGCTCATTTTCCACTTTGAAACCGACCAGAATGACGGCTCCGCGCCCTGTGCTGTTGCTACTACTGTTGCCGATCTCCATCGTGTCCTGCCAGCAGAGTGAGTTTTGTTTCGATGTTTGGTATTTCAACAACATATTAAAAACAACTACAACTAAACATACAGAAGAAAGAACGTAAACAGCTGACCCCATATTTCAATATAAATATATTTTCTGAATCCACGTTAGTAAAAGACAACAAAAGCTCTTATTGTTACATTGACAGTTATTTTAAATTGATTTGACAAGTTCTTCAGGTTATTCTTATCTTTGTGGAAAAGTGTGCAGGTTCGCTATCTACACAAAACACAGATAAACACGTTTGTGTAACACGAAAAGTAGTGTCATTTTACAGTTTCGGGCATGTGTGGATTTCATCAGACATGAGTTTAGTATACTGGAATATGATAGTAAGGTTCTTGTGGCTCTGTGACACGAATATGCATCAACTGCAAGTTAAGGCATTGATACTGTTGACCACGATTCCTTCCAGTTGTTGAGTCGTGCAATACAGGTTACATGTATCTTATCCATGTCCCACTAAATGAAACCAACACAGTCAGTTGCTAAGGCGGATCACCCTGTTGTTACTAGGTGACCTTTTCATCAGAATAAGATGATTTTGGAATCACTACTTGGTTCAATTATTCAGTTCTTAACAGATTTATGTCAAGCGGTAAATACCATCTTGTTGAACAGGATAATAATTTGCAAGGATGTTCGATGTTTCCCTACAGCATGAAGGCGACGATACCAGTTCCATAACCATATGTCTCCCACCAGTAGAAGTCAGAATGGGGAATTTCATGATACATCATTCTGATCTCTGTCATGAGAAGACCTCTATTTCACCAATATTTGAGAAACATGGACGTATACCCATTAAATTCGGCGCAGAAAGAGCACGATCGATTGTATTTCCAAAATTGGGCAATATAGATTGCTCAATGTTAATAGATATGTTGACTTTATGAATCTGAAAAAAATCCCGAACACATTTATAAATATAATATATGATTTATTTTCAAATATGTCTGAACTTTAGCTTTTAAATACTTTCTCATTTCACATGCTAGTTGTGGGATATTTTGTGGTGACCCTGTCTGTGAGATATCGACAAGAGGACTTGTTTTCTACCCTGGATGCCTACCATAAACAACAGTAAGATAGCGGGGGGACACCAGACCGGCAACCCTTATGTTTACTATATGTTCATCGATCTCTTAAATTGTCCCTATCAGACTTGATAGTTAGGCATGTGTGTATTATCAGAGTATACCAAGTGATATTTATGCTGACAATGGGCTAGGTATTAACCAGGTATGTTTATACCTAACATTCCACTATACGCCCTCTTGATCTACAAGGGCCAACATTGTACAAGGATTCATACATGTATCCCACACACAGTACATAAATAACAATTGTCCCATTCGGACTATATTTTTTTAATAATATATACACTCAAGGCCAAACGAAAGTGGCCGGTGCTAAAAATCTTTAAAAAAATCAACACAGTCAAAAAATTGTATTTATATCTATTTATGTTGATAGTAAGGCCACTTGCTAAACATACGGAGGTTATTACAACATCAAACATGAAGTAATGTTCGAGTAACATTTAATTAAATGACACTGGTATCAAAAGGCAAAGTTACATGTTTTCAGTTGTCTTGAACAATATCTGTGAACTCCAGATTAAAACACAAATGTCAACGTTTAGGTGTGCATTATTTAGTATGGTGTGTGTCCTCCTTCTGCATTGATACATGCAAGTACTCGACGTCTCATTGACGTTGTGAGACTTCTGATGAAGGCATTTGGGATATTCCCCCATTCCTCATGAATGGCCTGTTCCAGTTGTCTCAGGTTTGCTGGAGAGTGTAGTCTCATTCTGATTTTCCTGCCCAGAAAGTCCCAGAGATGCTCTATTGGTGAGAGGTCAGGGGAACGACACGGCCAAGGCAAGACGTTATTGGTTCCCATGAAGTCTGTCACAATCCCAGCTGTGTGTGCAGGAGCATTGTCTTGTTGAAATAATGTCCCTTGGTGTTGATTAACGAACGGAAACACAACTGGACGAATAACCTGGTCAGTGTATTGTTGTGCTGTCAGGTTGCCTTGAACTGTGATCAATTGTGTCTTCATTTCGCCACAGATACCTCCCCAAACCATAACACTCCCACCGCCATGAGCCTGAACCTCCATAACGCATGACGGGGCATGACGTTCACCACGACGGCGATACACACGTGCTCTACCGTCGTTATGGTATAAACAGTCCTACTCTCATCGCTGAATAGAACCCTACGCCAATCACGAAGCTGCCATCGTCGAACACGACGTGCCCAGATCAGCCTATTCAGGCGATGTTGACGTGTCAGCATTGTTCCACGGAATGGTCTGTGGGCTCGAATTCCGGCATGCTGTAGTCGTCGTCTAACTGTGTGTCTGCTGACAACTCGACCGAGTGCCGTTGATGCCGATTCCGAAACTGTCAGGAACCGATTCCTCAGATGTAGAATTCGTAGATATCGATCTTCCTGGGGGGTAGTGACCTTTGGTCTACCTGACCTTGGTCGGTCAACAGTCCTGCCAGTCTCATTGAAACGTTTTATAAGTCTATTGATAGAATGTCTGTGACAACCAAACGTTCTTGCGACATGGGTATGAGAAGCTCCCATGTTTATCATTCCTATAACTCTTTCACGCTGTTCTGAAGTAAGTCTAGGCATATCTAAAGTGTTTTCCTGTTTCATAACGTCTGTGTTATACCAACGGTCGTTAAATGCCTCGTTTGGCTGACGTAGTGTCGCTTTTATCCTTCAAAAACGTGTATTTCACCATTTGTACAAATTTCCTGATTTTTAGCTCGGAGTCAATTTTTCCTAATGACAACATTATTGGTGTGTTTTGGCGATTGTTAAACAAAAGAAAATATATTTCACCAATTTTGAATAAATTTCATATATCAAAAATAAAATGGGCCACTTTCTTTTGGCCTTGAGTGTATAGTTATGCTTGTTCAATCAGTAGTGTCACGTTGCGAAACAGATCAGCTCGTTTAACTAAAAGGTCATTTTAATGTTGTTCGTTGTTGTAGTGGTGATGTAAAAAGCGTTGCTTCCACTATTTTAAATATTGATGAACCCAAATTTCGTCGAGACTCAATCCTTTCTGGAGTAATCTTACATGTACAGAAGTAGAATATCATTGGTCTGGTGGATTTCTGACCAGATGTCAGTAACATTGGAATGCCATAAGCTGCTACTTTCCCAAATCTTTCAAAGGTTATGTGTTAATGCAGTGACGGGTACATGGGGAATGATCCAGAGCACTCGTGAATGACTGGGGGCCTTATTGCCATTGTAAGCATTTACCAGAAGACAATGCATTTCTTGATCAGAGAAACTTTTGCAAGGAGGCAATTTTTTAACAATGGCTTAAACATTTCGCCACTACCAGAATGAGCCCAAACAACGATAACATCAGTGGGTGCATTTTACATAACCACCATCAAAGAAAGGAAGGATTGTCCCACGATGGAAAGTTGGAAAGGTCATGGCGGCCGTGTTCGTGGATGTTGGGGAAATCGTCATGGATCAAGCAATAAATGGAGCATATTCTGACTTTCATATCAAAAGATATATATAGATATATATATAATATCTTTTTAGATGCATTATATATCTTTTCCCCGATGCTCACCACAAGTGCTACAAACTATACACCTCATGTATGTGTCTGTTTCAGAAATATGCAACAAAGAACTTGGAATGGCATCTGGTGAGATTCCAGACTCTGGGATCCTAGTTTCCTCAGAATTACCAAATCAGGAGAAGGGAAAGATGCGTTATGGTTCATTTGAGAGTAAGTGTAACATGAATATTATGGTGAGTTTATTACTTCAAAGACAATAATGTTAAATATTCGGTGTGATATGCCCTGCATGATAACGGATTGTCTCTCTCTCATACTAACAGACGTAACTTGGTCTGCATGGTGCCCAAACGCTGGTGATAGTGATCCCTGGGTCGAGATACATCTTCCGAAGGTAAAGTCTGTGTCCCAGATCAGGTTCCAGCTACCTGCCATGGGCATCCCACCAACGACACCAGTTGCCTTCATGACCAAGTTTAACATGGAGTTTCTTCCCTATTTTGGAGACGAGAAGTACATACTATTCAAAGAGGTAGGTGTGCTCTCTGAAATGAATCATATGGCGATCTAAAGAAGCTATTGAAAATGCTTCACGGATTCCGCAAGAATTGGATCTGATCTAATTGTATTTTTTGACAATTATGACAAAAGAAGCTGCCATGTAACGGGCGCCTTTGTAAAATATATGTTTATGAAAACATGAATGAATGATGTTCAGGAACCACGAAAACTACCCTCTGATATCTAGAATTGCGATGTTATCTTGTTGTTTAAATCAGAATATCAAGTCAGTATTCAATGCGACCATGTCGTACACCATCATCTTTGATCCTGCTATTGTCACCAACACTATCAAACTGACGCCAACTGAATGGACGAACTCACCCTGCTTTAGGATGGAGATAATCGGATGTGACATCACAGGTGGGTTGTTGTAACACATGCATTTACTGGACAACGAACAAACAGCTTTAGTATATATTTTATCGTCAGGCCGCAAAGAATCGCCGAAGCTTTTAGTTCGAAAACCTTGACGGCAATTGTTTTAAAATAAGTAGTACGTGACGTGCTTTGCATTTATATATTCGGTTCCCACTTATTTTTATCTTTTACAGATCTGTGCCCAGATCCATATTGTTTGAACGATGGCGTCTGCGCTGGATCAGACCTCTGCTACTGTCCACAGCCAACCTTGGTTGGAGAGAAGTGTCAATACAGCAGTAATGCTTTATCTTTCATTATTCTACTAGACTGTAACACAATCCACCCTTGCAATGGGATTCTGTCTGCATGTATATACATCGGCGACACTATTTAATATCACCTTTGTAAGGTCTCTCAGATGAGATGTACCATGTGACGAAGGCATGGGACAGTTATCCTCCATATACATATACCGTACTGATCGGAGCGACGTATGTCTATAAATTCACACGTAAATGTACATAAATGTACGATAAACAAGTTACGACTACTATGTATAGATGGTTAGAGGAAGCTTACTGAATCATTCCGTCAATCGTATGTACCATAGTTACATGAAGCACGGTGTGTCACTTGTTCCAGAGCCGTGTGTGCCAGTGACAATGTACAACTTTACCGAGGTTGTTAACGAGACGGTGACAGGGATTCCTTCTGACTTCAAGATTATCAAAGGGGACGCGATGCTGGAAGGGGGATGTAGCCCAATTCTACAGCTACACAACGGCGGTTGCGTACAAATGCCACTTGACGAGCTGTGTTTAAAAGATCTGGACAACTGTTTCTCGGGATTCACTATCAGCCTGACTGTCAAACAAGACACGATTGTAGATCCGAAGTAAGTGATGTTTTCATAATCAAAGCTCATGTTTCGTGAGGCGATATTCAGACTTTTCATTGATCGAGGTTAGTGCATTGGACAGCATTGCATTGCATTGTATTGTATTGTATTGTGTTTCCAGGTACTTCTTGACAACTGGAGGTGAGCTAGGCTCGCATAGCGGTATATCTTTCTATTACCAGAATCAGAAGCTCATAGTTTCAGTCACAATGTCCAAGAGGTCGTGGCGTTTGGTGAAGCAGTTCAATCCTCAACCAAACACATGGTATTGGTTCGAGATTTCGTGGACGCCAAACTTCGGATTGTCTCTCCATGTGAACGGTCTTCCAGCAGGCTACGTGTTTCAATACTCCACGGCAGACCCAACAGGTGATACTGATAGATCCTAACTGGTGATGGTACACCTTATTAAGGAAACAAATGGTATTATGCTACCGTATCATTGGCAGGTCTTTCGCTGTTATTTGATCGATCCTGTCTCTATTTATGTTTATTATTCATGCTCAACAGTTTAGCGAAGCTTCAAACTTTGGCTGCCTCACTTGGCAGATAAATCAGATGTGGTTGTTGTATCGAATCGTAAGAAATGGTAGTGCGTTCCGCAATATTATTCCGATTACCATAAAAGCTTAGTTACAACTGTACTTGATATCCGGTTGTTAATTGTGAGCAATTCACAGGACTTCATGATACAAGGGACAAAGGAAATTACCTAAAGGAATTATCCGGGCATTAAATGCTTAATATATCTTGAAAATATAAATATAAAAGTATTGTGTATCTCCAAGATATGACGATGCTTTATAATCTTGTCAGATAAATACATATATTTGTTAATCGTATCTATCAATACTTTGCCCCAATTTCCCACTTTTTACGGAGGTCTGATGAAAAATATTCTTGCAAGAGTCGTCGTGTAACAAAACAAATGAAGTATAAAGATTAATAATAGTGTAGTTGATTTTCCTATTTACAAAATGTTTCTTAAAAAATGGGCCCACCGACCGTAGTCAACAAATGTGCTTCAGGAACAGTGTAGTGTCAACACGTCCTGCTATTGTCGTATCTTTTTCCTCAGCAAATAAATCTGAGACGCTGGTAGTGGGATGTTCTACACAGGTGACAACTGCCCCCAGCACACTGTGGGTGAAGAACCTTGTGTTTGCACCACTCCGGCATGAAGACTTGAACGGAACCATATATTACAACTGTAAGCAAGTGTATGAACCAGTGTACACGCAGAGACATATATGTTCACACAAAGAACTTAATCAAGCACCCCTGTATTTTTGCAATGATAGGTTTTCAACATGTACATAAAACCTCTCATGGTGACCACAATTGAAAAACATGTGACACATATGATCCTTTGACTCATACAAAACGACAAAATAATTGGAATCCATGATTTTATAATGATAATTGCTCATTTACAAAAACACTGATTTTCATACAAAACCATGTCTGTACAACTATGGCCCTGGAATGTTTAATGTTGAATTTATTGGTGAAATCAATTCAAAATCAATATCGAATGTAACCTCAATGTGCCTTTGTGGCAGTCGGCACACTCCTCCTCATACCCCCTATCAGCCTCCTGATCATCTGAAGGGGCAGTCTACGCCATTCCTTGTGTTAAGCAGCTTCCAATTGGGTCAGATTCTTTACAAGAGGATCCCTTTTTTGCACACGACGACCAATCATTTCCCAGATATGCTCCAAAGGGTTTAGGTCGGGGCTCATTCAGTCGTGAGATAAGTCCGCGGGTGCTTAACTAAGTTCTTTGTGTCTATATAAAGGGGACGCTATTACCGCTAAGTAAGATATAGAAGTATTGACAGCATTTCCTCCATACTGAGGTAAAGTTATATTTGAAATTCTGATCACAAATAGTTTTGGGTTATTTTGTCTTTAATGATTCTCTTCCTACAGTTAAAAGTGTCTTTGCTGTGGTAACCACTGATCATGTCTCGGTTGTCAAGGTATCGGAAACCAGTCTCAAAATGAACCTGGCTATATGTCAAAAATATTGTTTTTTGATATGTGAGAATTAGCGCAAGTTGCCTTACACATGTTATATTTGGGATTACACTTTCTCAGTAAAGTACTGTTTCTAGTACTTCTGTTGGGTTGGAACCCATACGGGATTCGAACCCACACTCTCAGAGTCAGACACCGTGTGTACTCTTCTGATAAGTATAAATTGGCACGGCTACAACGGCAGAAAGCTATGTGATGGACAGTTCACGGGTTCGATTTGGTCGAGCGATTCCATTTTCTGAGTAAAGTACCGATTATAGTACGTTAGCGATTATACACATTATCATCTAATTCCCTAGCCTCGTGCAACCTACATAAGTTATTGTGTTTCAGATGCTGGAGATCTAACGAAATCTACACCGTGTGTTCCCCCGCCTTCAGGTAAGGAAGTCCCGCGTTTAGATGCTGTATTCAGACCTTGTTCCAAAGTTCACTTTTGAAGTTTATAATCATTTTTTGTTGTATCATCCCTGAACAGTGATGGAGTGCATGGAACCTCCGACAACTACCCAGCAGATTACAACAACAGAAGTCATAACTACAGTTGAGGTTGACACAACCGCACAAGAAGCTGAAACAACGGCACAAGAAGCTGAAACAACGACAGAAGATGTTGACACAACCACACAAGAAGCTGAAACAACGACAGAAGATGTTGAATTAACAACAGAAGCTGAAACAACGACAGAAGATGTTGAATTAACGACGGAAGCTGAAACAACGACAGAAGATGTTGAATTAACGACGGAAGCTGAAACAACGACAGTAGAAGCTGAAACAACGACAGTAGAAGTTGAAACAACAACGGAAGAAACACAGATAACAACAAAGGCTGAGACAAATGAAGCGACAGGTATCGTTGTGGTCTTTATGTAAATATTTCGTATTTTGTTCTTACAAATTCAAATTCAACACTCACACATGCCAAGCGTCAGAAGGCGTTCAGTATAGCCTGAGCTATTATTACAGAGGCTACTATGATGCTTGAAGAAATTACAACTGAAGAACCGACAACACCTATGGAAGAGATCAGCACAACCGAAGACATGACCACTGAAAAGCTATCTACAGAACCTCCAACAACTACTGAAACTACAACAACAACCACCTTGCCTACCACCGAAATTAGTAAGCCATGTTGACGCCGGTGGCGCATATTAATGCAAGCATAGTTCTTGAGATTGTTTTCTGCAATTTAAGAATGGGTTTATGTTTTATTCAGGGAGAGGCGTTACGCTGGGAGCAGGTGGTAGGGGAATAAAAGTGCAGTTGATAGAATGAGATTGCAGGGTAATGGTGGCATCTGAGGATGGACAGGGGATGTTGGGTGGTGTAGGCAGGGTAATGGTGGCATCTGAGGATGGACAGGGGATGTTGGGTGGTGTAAGCAGGATAATGGAGGCATCTGAGGATGGACAGGGGATGTTGGGTGGTGTAGGCAGGGTAATGGTGGCATCTGAGGATGGACAGGGGATGTTGGGTTGTGTAAGCAGGGAAATGGTGGCATTTGAGGATGGACAGGGGATGTTGGGTGGTGGAGCCAGGGCAATGGTGGCATCTGAGGATGGACAGGGGATGTTGGGTGGTGTAAGCAGGGTAATGGTGGCATCTGAGGATGGACAGGGGATGTTGGGTTGTGTAAGCAGGGAAATGGTGGCATTTGAGGATGGACAGGGGATGTTGGTTGGTGTAAGCAGGGTAATGGTGGCATCTGAGGATGGACAGGGGATGTTGGGTGGTGTAAGCAGGGTAATGGTGGCATCTGAGGATGGACAGGGGATGTTGGGTTGTGTAAACAGGGTAATGGTGGCATCTGAGGATGGACAGGGGATGTTGGGTGGTGTAGGCAGGGTAATGGTGGCATTTGAGGATGGACAGGGGATGTTGGGTGGTGTAAGCAGGGTAATGGTGGCATCTGAGGATGGACAGGGGATGTTGGGTGGTGTAGGCAGGGTAATGGTGGCATCTGAGGATGGACAGGGGATGTTGGGTGGTGTAGGCAGGGTAATGGTGACATCTGAGGATGGACAGGGGATGTTGGGTGGTGTAAGCAGGGTAATGGTGGCATCTGAGGATGGACAGGGGATGTTGGGTGGTGTAGGCAGGGTAATGGTGACATCTGAGGATGGACAGGGGATGTTGGGTGGTGTAGGCAGGGTAATGGTGGCATCTGAGGATGGACAGGGGATGTTGGGTGGTGTAAGCAGGGTAATGGTGACATCTGAGGATGGACATGGGATGTTGGGTGGTGGAAGCAGGGTAATGGTGGCATCTGAGGATGGACAGGGGATGTTGGGTGGTGTAAGCAGGGTAATGGTGGCATCTGAGGATGGACAGGGGATGTTGGGTGGTGTAGCCAGGGTAATGGTGGCATCTGAGGATGGACAGGGGATGTTGGGTGGTGTAGGCAGGGTAATGGTGGCATCTGAGGATGGACAGGGGATGTTGGGTGGTGTAAGCAAGGTAATGGTGGTATCTGAGGATGGACAGGGGATATTGGGTGGTGAAAGCAGGATAATGTCGGCATCTGAGGATGGACAGGGGATGTTGGGTGGTCTTCAGCAACCCATGCTTGCAACAAAAGGCGACTATGCTTGTCGTAAGTTCGAGGTGACTAATGGGATCGGGTAGTCAGGCTCTCTGACTTGCTTGACACATGTCATCGGTTCCCAATTGCGCAGATCGATGATCATGCTGTTGATCACTGGATTATCTGGTCCAGACTCGATTATTTACAGACTGCCGCCATATAGCTGGATTATTGCTGAGTGCGGCGTAAAACTAAACTCACTCACTCACTCACTAAGGACTATAGGACTTAGTGTCAGGAAAAATGTTCATGGATGGTAGGTCTGAGTACGAACGAGTGTTTGGGTTCAGTGAGCTTTTGGGATAGTCAAATCAGGGTAAAGCCTGTATGAACGAATTTTATGTTATGTTACGGGAACTTGGATAGGTGGAACGCAGTGGAAGCTGGTAAATACGTAGTCAAAGGACAACAGAGCACTTTTCTTAATTTTTTTGCAGTTTTATTCCCAAGAGTATATAATCCCCAATATGTACAAATATATTTACAGAAATATTGGTGTGTCAGGAAGGAGTTTGTATTCCTGTTGAGATACTTGTGTTTCAGAATGCCAAACACCTCTGTGGCAGACTGGTATCATTAAGGACATTCATGTCGTGTCCTCATCAAACGGCCCAGGAAAGACGCCGATTATGGCTAAATCCGATTGTTGTGCAGGTACTGAATACTAATTATTACGTTAACTAGCTAAACTGAATCGAACATATTAGTGAATAAATGCAATATAAATATGATAATACAATATAACAAATATCCTGTTACCAAACAGAATGCAAAATTAACACAGACAGTTTTCAGGACAAACGGTAGGAGGATGGTGTCCAGATCCTAAGTTGCCCCCTACTGCTCAGTACTTGGAGGTTACATTTGAGACGCCCTACGGGGTGAAGGCTATCGAAATCCTGCCACCAGAGGGGACGGACCCTATATATCCCTCCGCGGCCAGGGAGTATATGACAAACTACACCTTTAAGTATGTGCCCTTCGGAGGAAGCAATCTCACAACGTATGGTACACAGGCTGGGCCAATCGTGAGTTGATATTCCTTTGCATATTTGTACTATTTTCTTTGACAATTTTCATCTTATTTATTTCAAAGTTCATAAGCAATAATTGAAATAGATTCCGTTACAAATGAGATACGTACACATGTTTATTATACTTCTATGAATAATATTGCATTTCCATCCGTTTCACGTTACGAGAAATTACAGCAACAAATCCTCAAATATTGACCTGTCATGTAATACATATTGCCTCATCTGCTAGGAAACAAGACGGAGTGTGAAACTAGCATTTCAGGGTGCGTAGCTAAGTTAGTGTAAACAGGGAACGGTTCAGGCACATCATGAAGTACATTTCGTATAACGAATCAGAATTTGGTCCTGTCAGATCGCCGAAGGGATCGGGTGCTCGAGTCCTTGTTTAGTCATAGTCATTTCGTCAAGTGTATTTCTTTGGTAGATATTGCTATAACTCAAACATTATTAATCGGGCCAAATTAGTGCAAGAACTCAACACATTACAAATGTTTATAATGTACACAGTTTATGTAGACACAGTTTCATTATATTGGCTATTCATATCAGTCGTATCAATTCAGACACAGCTGAGGACAAATTCCCAAAGGATGTAATGGTGTGTTTTGGTTTCTCCAGTACATGCTGGGTGTGCGGGGAAACGCTGTGACAGTTGTATCCACCATCACAGAGATTATCGGCCTCATCACGGAGAGGGTTCGCATATCCGTCGCAGACTTCAAGAATGAGCCTTGCTTCAGGTTCGAACTCTTTGGATGTGAGCCACAATGTGAGAAACATTTCAACTTAACAGTTAAATCAAAAGTGTAGATAAGACAACAGCATAATCCAATATTTACCAAGTATGATTGAAGTTTGTGTTATTTCTTACAACATCCAATCTCACGAAATCGAACATCAGCTGTCTATAAAGGTCTTGCCTTGCGTCTCCGTTCAAAAGTAAACCTGACAATGGACACGTGAGTAATTGAGACATCCTGTTTAGTGTATCTAAATACAGATCCTGTGCCCTAAAATACCAGTTCACATCTCCAGACATCCAGACATCCTGTTTAGTGTATCTAAATACAGATCCGCCCTAAAGCCTCTCCAGACATCCAGTTTAGTGTATCTAAATACAGATCCGCCCTAAATCCGCCTCTCCAGACATCCTGTTTAGTGTATCTAAATACAGATCCGCCCTAAAGCCTCTCCAGACATCCAGTTTAGTGTATCTAAATACAGATCCACCCTAAAGCCTCTCCAGACATCCAGTTTAGTGTATCTAAATACAGATCCACCCTAAAAGCCTCTCCAGACATCCTGTTTAGTGTATCTAAATACAGATCCACCCTAAAGCCTCTCCAGACATCCAGTTTAGTGTATCTAAATACAGATCCACCCTAAAGCCCTCTCCAGACATCCAGTTTAGTGTATCTAAATACAGATCCACTAAAAGCCTCTCCAGACATCCTGTTTAGTGTATCTAAATACAGATCCACCCTAAAGCCTCTCCAGACATCCAGTTTAGTGTATCTAAATACAGATCCACCCTAAAGCCTCTCCAGACATCCAGTTTAGTGTATCTAAATACAGATCCACCCTGAAGCCTCTCCAGACATCCTGTTTAGTGTATCTAAATACAGATCCGCCCTAAAGCCTCTCCAGACATCCAGTTTAGTGTATCTAAATACAGATCCACCCTAAAGCCTCTCCAGACATCCAGTTTAGTGTATCTAAATACAGATCCACCCTAAAGCCTCTCCAGACATCCAGTTTAGTGTATCTAAATACAGATCCACCCTAAAGCCTCTCCAGACATCCTGTTTAGTGTATCTAAATACAGATCCGCCCTAAAGCCTCTCTCAGACATCCTGTTTAGTGTATCTAAATACAGATCCACCCTAAAGCCTCCCAGACATCCTGTTTAGTGTATCTAAATACAGATCCACCCTAAAGCCTCTCCAGACATCCAGTTTAGTGTATCTAAATACAGATCCACCCTAAAGCCTCTCCAGACATCCTGTTTAGTGTATCTAAATACAGATCCACCCTAAAGCCTCTCCAGACATCCTGTTTAGTGTATCTAAATACAGATCCACCCTAAACCCTCTCCAGACATCCTGTTTAGTGTATCTAAATACAGATCCACCCTGAAGCCTCTCCAGACATCCTGTTTAGTGTATCTAAATACAGATCCGCCCTAAAGCCTCTCCAGACATCCTGTTTAGTGTATCTAAATACAGATCCACCCTAAACCCTCTCCAGACATCCTGTTTAGTGTATATAAATACAGATCCGCCCTAAAGCCTCTCCAGACATCCTGTTTAGTGTATCTAAATACAGATCCACCTAAACCCTCTCCAAACCCTCTCCAGACATCCTGTTTAGTGTATATAAATACAGATCCGCCCTAAAGCCTCTCCAGACATCCAGTTTAGTGTATCTAAATACAGATCCACCCTAAACCCTCTCCAGACATCCTGTTTAGTGTATATTAATACAGATCAGCCCTAAAGCCTCTCCAGACATCCAGTTTAGTGTATCTAAATACAGATCCACCCTAAAGCCTCTCCAGACATCCAGTTTAGTGTTTCTAAATACAGATCCACCCTAAAAAGCCTCTCCAGACATCCTATTTAGTGTATCTAAATACAGATCAGCCCTAAAAAGCTCTCCAGACATCTTGTTTAGTGTATGTAAATACAGATTCGCCCTAAACCCTCTCCAGACATCCAGTTTAGAGGAACTAAATACAGATCCAGCCTGAGGCCTCTCCAAACATCCTGTTTAGTGTATCTAAATACAGATCCGCCCTAAAGCCTCTGCAGACATCCAGTTTAGTGTATCTTAAAACAGATCCACCCTAAAGCCTCTCCAGACATCCAGTTAAGTGTATCTAAATACAGATCCACCCTGACGCCTCTCCAGACATCCTGTTTAGTGTATCTAAATACAGATCTACCCTGACGCCTCTCCAGACATCCTGTTTAGTGTATCTAAATACAGATCCGCCCTAAACCCTCTCCAGACATCCAGTTTAAAAATACAGATCCCCCTAAAGCCTCTCAGACATCCAGTTTAGTGTATCTAAATACAGATCCAGCCCTAAAGCCTCTCCAGACATCCTGTTTAGTGTATCTAAATACAGATCCACCCTAAAGCCTCTCCAGACATCCAGTTTAGTGATCCACCCTATCCAGTAAATACAGATCCACCCTAAAGCCTCTCCAGACATCCAGTTTAGTGTATCTAAATACAGATCCACCCTAAAGCCTCTCCAGACATCCTGTTTAGTGTATCTAAATACAGATCCACCCTAAAGCCTCTCCAGACATCCTGTTTAGTGTATCTAAATACAGATCCGCCCTAAACCCTCTCCAGACATCCTGTTTAGTGTATATAAATACAGATCCACCCTGAAGCCTCTCCAGACATCCTGTTTAGTGTATATAAATACAGATCCGCCCTAAAGCCTCTCCAGACATCCTGTTTAGTGTATCTAAATACAGATCCACCCTAAACCCTCTCCAGACATCCTGTTTAGTGTATATAAATACAGATCCGCCCTAAAGCCTCTCCAGACATCCTGTTTAGTGTATCTAAATACAGATCCGCCCTAAAGCCTCTCCAGACATCCTGTTTAGTGTATCTAAATACAGATCCGCCCTAAAGCCTCTCCAGACATCCTGTTTAGTGTATCTAAATACAGATCCAGCCTGAAGCCTCTCCAGACATCCTGTTTAGTGTATCTAAATACAGATCCGCCCTAAAGCCTCTCCAGACATCCAGTTTAGTGTATCTAAATACAGATCCACCCTAAAGCCTCTCCAGACATCCAGTTTAGTGTTTCTAAATACAGATCCACCCTAAAGCCTCTCCAGACATCCTGTTTAGTGTATCTAAATACAGATCCGCCCTAAAGCCTCTCCAGACATCCTGTTTAGTGTATCTAAATACAGATCCGCCCTAAACCCTCTCCAGACATCCTGTTTAGTGGAACTAAATACAGATCCAGACCTCCTGTTTAGTGCCTCTCAGACATCCCTCTCCAGACATCCTGTTTAGTGTATCTAAATACAGATCCGCCCTAAAGCCTCTCCAGACATCCAGTTTAGTGTATCTAAATACAGATCCACCCTAAAGCCTCTCCAGACATCCAGTTTAGTGTATCTAAATACAGATCCACCCAGACATCCTGTTTAGTGTAAGCCTCTCCAGACATCCTCCTTTTAGTGTATCTAAATACAGATCCACCCTAAAGCCTCTCCAGACATCCTGTTTAGTGTATCTAAATACAGATCCGCCCTAAAGCCTCTCCAGACATCCAGTTTAGTGTATCTAAATACAGATCCACCCTAAAGCCTCTCCAGACATCCTGTTTAGTGTATCTAAATACAGATCCACCCTAAAGCCTCTCCAGACATCCAGTTTAGTGTATCTAAATACAGATCCACCCTGAAGCCTCTCCAGACATCCTGTTTAGTGTATCTAAATACAGATCCACCCTAAAGCCTCTACAGACATCCTGTTAAGTGTATCTAAATACAGATCCACCCTGAAGCGTCTCCAGACATCCAGTTTAGTGTATCTAAATACAGATCCACCCTAAACCCTCTCCAGACATCCTGTTTAGTGTATCTAAATACAGATCCACCCTGAAGCCTCTCCAGCCATCCGGTTTAGTGTATATAAATACAGATCCGCCCTAAAGCCTCTCCAGACATCCTGTTTAGTGTATCTAAATACAGATCCACCCTAAACCCTCTCCAGACATCCTGTTTAGTGTATCTAAATACAGATCCGCCCTAAAGCCTCTCCAGACATCCTGTTTAGTGTATCTAAATACAGATCCACCCTAAACCCTCTCCAGACATCCTGTTTAGTGTATATAAATACAGATCCGCCCTAAAGCCTCTCCAGACATCCAGTTTAGTGTATCTAAATACAGATCCACCCTAAACCCTCTCCAGACATCCTGTTTAGTGTATATTAATACAGATCAGCCCTAAAGCCTCTCCAGACATCCAGTTTAGTGTATCTAAATACAGATCCACCCTAAAGCCTCTCCAGACATCCAGTTTAGTGTTTCTAAATACAGATCCACCCTAAAGCCTCTCCAGACATCCTATTTAGTGTATCTAAATACAGATCAGCCCTAAAGCCTCTCCAGACATCTTGTTTAGTGTATGTAAATACAGATTCGCCCTAAACCCTCTCCAGACATCCAGTTTAGAGGAACTAAATACAGATCCAGCCTGAGGCCTCTCCAAACATCCTGTTTAGTGTATCTAAATACAGATCCGCCCTAAAGCCTCTGCAGACATCCAGTTTAGTGTATCTTAAAACAGATCCACCCTAAAGCCTCTCCAGACATCCAGTTAAGTGTATCTAAATACAGATCCACCCTGACGCCTCTCCAGACATCCTGTTTAGTGTATCTAAATACAGATCTACCCTGACGCCTCTCCAGACATCCTGTTTAGTGTATCTAAATACAGATCCGCCCTAAACCCTCTCCAGACATCCAGTTTAGTGTATCTAAATACAGATCCACCCTGAAGCCTCTCCAGACATCCAGTTTAGTGTATCTAAATACAGATCCACCCTAAAGCCTCTCCAGACATCCTGTTTAGTGTATCTAAATACAGATCCACCCTAAAGCCTCTCCAGACATCCAGTTTAGTGTATCTAAATACAGATCCACCCTAAAGCCTCTCCAGACATCCAGTTTAGTGTATCTAAATACAGATCCACCCTAAAGCCTCTCCAGACATCCTGTTTAGTGTATCTAAATACAGATCCGCCCTAAAGCCTCTCCAGACATCCAG